TCCACAATCATCCTTCCCTTTGCCCAACCCCAATATTGTCCTCTTTTCAGGCCAGGCAGTGGAAGAAATTAGAGAAAAAAACCGCAAGCTTTCAGAGAAACTTCAAACTAGCAACATATTCTCATCAGCCCTGGAGCTAATCTAAGTTAATTCCCCTTTCTTTGAGTTAGTGGAAGAGAAATAACAAAAAGGATAGAACAATAACCTGAAAAGAAGAAAACAATAATAGGTGAAACATAGTACCTCACTTATTTCTGCCTTGTCAGGCTTTTATTATGGTGGATCTTCCAATTCCAATTCTTCCCCTCCACAGGAGACATCTTCTTCCCAGGGTTTAATCTTATTAATGTACACTTAATTCCTCCCTTGTTTTTGTGCTATTCTGCGTCAGCTTTCCATAGTTTCTACATGCATTGGATTGCGAGTCCAAGAATCTTTCCCCACTGCTGAGTTAAAGTGCTATCCACCCATCACTGAACTGGCAGAAAACAATACCAAGTATGAAATTGCCAGTTCCTAGTCTGCATTTATTACTTCTGTTTTGCTTTGCTTCTGAATGATGTTGCCCTGACTATGGACATGCAGTGTGTTCCTGATGTCCCTGTGCACCCGTTGGCTGGACAAACTTCAGCCAGTCCACTGCAGCATGAATGATGCAAATCCAGCTAGAGAACTTTGTCTATCATCTCAAGGCTCTTTCCTGTGTGCCTCCTCCTATACCCCCTTCTGTCATAAGTTTTCCAAAACACATCAGACTCGTGCAGAGAGCTGAGTCACAGGCAGCACTAAATTTTTTCTCCCATTTTTCCCTTTTTTATATAGGCAACACATGCTGACTTCCTAATTCCTCTGTTCTTTTTGGGAGGCAAAAGGCAGTTTGGTTCCATCACATCATGCTTTAAACTATTTCAGTTGGTTAATTTCCTTCTATTTCACCAGAACAAGTAGTTTTGTGACATTTGATGCTTCACTATTTTATGCAATTTATTTAACACCCTACCTTTAGTACAAAAGCACAAGACTTGATACATATGTTACCTCCTCCCTCCTCTCTCATTCCCACCCCTCAAAAAAAACCAACCCCTCTGAGATAAGTTGGGCTGAGAGAGTGTGCCTGGCCCAAGTCACTTAGTGAGTTTCCATGGATGAGGGTGGACTAGAACTTGGGTATCCCCACTTCTAGTCCAACACCTTCACTAATACCATAGTCAACAGCAGAATGGTGGCAGATGAGGCTGATGGGGGACCAGAGAGGAGGGAGCATGCCCACATCAGCCTGAAAAGGCCAATAAACATTGCTTTATTCCTATATTCTACCAGTGACTTGATGCAATGGGTGATAAAGCATACCTTTACACACTTTGTGGCTGTTGTTGGATGCTGTTGACTTAAGAAAGCGAATGCAACTTTAACACTACTTCAGCTAAGGATAAATTAAGCTTGTTTTATTTATGGGTTAGGGACCAGATGAAGGCAAGGCCATGGCAGAAAAAAGATACTGCCAGGGCATAATGGTTCATAATTAGATGCAAATAGAGAAATATCTCTAGAATTCCCAGGGGGCATGCCAGTGGCAAGATATAACTTGAACAAAAAAATGGAGTCAGTTATTTGGAGAGAAAACCAATCACTTGCTGATGCAGAAAATGCACTGCATAGTATTATAGATTCTGTCTATAATTACATAACAAGTAACTGCTTCCTATTTACATGTTGGCCTTGTAAAGGGCATCCATCCAGGGAGAGGGGTCAAAAAATCAAGATGGTGGCCACAACTGCACAGTCAAAGCTCCCCACATTGTTTATCTATGTCATGCATGCACCGCATGTAAAAAAGGAGTGGGCTTCAATCAAGCATTCATGGCTGCCATTGTGTCTTTGCTGACTCCCCCACTCCCCTTGGATGGCCCTGCTAGAGGTTTTTTAGTCCACCACTCTTCCTGTGCCTACTGTGATGCTGAATGGCAATAAGGGTTCCTTTTATTTTTTTTCTTTTAAGCTATCCCTCCCATCTATCTCACAAATGTGGCTGCCCCAGGCAACATTGACTTATACCCAGTCCATTACTGCTCAGAACTATGATGTTCATGCAGCTGATTCCAACACAAGCATCAACAGCTGTGGTGGGCTTCCAGCAGCCAATAAACTGCACACGGCTCATGGCCCTACTTCTACCCACAGCAATTGGATTTAAAAAAAAAAACCCTCTCCAAGATGATAGCGGAGGCTCTTTGCAATCCTAACTGCAGCATGGAGGATTATTTGAGGATGGGTCACAGTTAAAGAGAGAAGAATTAGTTATTATTTTATAATACCTTCTGATAACCAAAGTGCACAAAGAATTAGGCTTGAAAAAAAGCACCTACTGGAGTCATTTGAAGACTATTTTTGCAAGTATTGCTATATAAGGGAAGGGTGGAGAGTGAAGGTATGTATGTATGTATGTAATGTATGTATGTGTATATATGTATGTGAGTGTGAGTGTAGTTTCTTTAGCCAGTAGGTGTGGATCATGTCCGGGCCAGGTGCTGTCCAGCTCTTCATGTTCTTGACCTGTGGTTGGATGTCTGCTACTGTGTCGGTGACTGGTTCCTGTTCTGGGAGATTGCTGTGGTCTGCTTTCG